CACTCACACCTCCCTTCTGAAATCCCCCCCAACACCCCCCCCACCTTTTCTCCCTGGCATTCTCCCTCCCATAGTTTTCCATTTGTCTCTAAGAAAGTCTTCATCCAATCCCTCAGGCAGGTAGCAAGAAGCTGCTTGAAAGGGAGGGGTCGTGGAGCAGTGAAAGATACAGGAGAACAAACACAAGTGAATATTTCAATAAATTACTGGGCCATGGATATCAAAGTGTGCATCAGCGATGCTAATGTCCGAACCGAAGAGCGGCAGGAGGTAGGGGTCCTGGAAGGATGGGTCACACGGGCACGCAGAGGGGCTGGCAGGGGTGCAAAGGGAGATGAGCCGTGAAGGCACCCAACAGTCATAGAGTGCCATGTCATCTCTCTGGCGTCCTGCCCATCGGGGCAGCTGCGCCTGTAGGGCTCAGAGGGGGACGTGACCTGCCTCAGGTCACACAGGTCCACATGGGCCGTCCAAGCCCTCAGCCCGACTGGCAGTCAAACAAGAGAGGGGACTCAGGAACCACTGCTGCTGCCTGCCGTCTGGCCTTGTGACCTGGAATCTGCCAACACTGCTGTGTGACCCTGGGTAGGTTAGGTCACCGTTCCCTGCCTCAGTTTCCTCCTCTGTAACACAAGGACGGTAGCGGCCCCCACCTGCAAGCGGGTGGGGAGGGGAAGCACATCAAACGTGGCCTAGAACATGGCCCCCTGGCACCATGCCTGAGCGGGGCGTGGGGTGGCCAGAAGCACCCAAGTCGTTGGATCGGAGCTGGAGAGCTTCCTTCCAGGTCATCTGGACAGGAGTTGGGGAGCTGGCCAGGGCCCGCTGCAGCGGGGAGCAGCTCGGGAGCTGATTTCTGAGCTGTGCGTGGACGGGAGGGGTGGGTGAGGCCACGCAGGGGGCGTCTGGAGTGGGGTCGAGCCCTAGGGTCCAACAGCCCTCTCTCCTCCGGAAGGCAAGGAGGGGAGCCTCTGGGGCCTAAATTGGCCAGAGGGGGCATCAGAAAATGAACAGAATAGCGGTGGGTATTTCTTCCCTCCTCCTTTGTCTCCCTCATCTTCCCCCCCCCCCCCCGCCGTCCTTCTCTGCCTCTTCCCCTTCTCTCCCCCTCTGTCTTCCTTTCTTTTGTCCCCACTTTGTTCCAAAAAGCCTGGGAGGAAGAGTCTGCGCTCCGAGCTATGTCATAAGTAACCCCCTTGTGTACTTGCGGTTTACCTACCTGTAGAAAAATCTGTACCTAAGATCACCACATGCTGTGGGCAAATGGTTTCTGATTCCACTCCACAAATATTTACTGTGCTCTGGTTAACTGAGCGTACTTTGTGCTGGAGGTGCCACAGAGATGCAAATGGGCAAGGCCAGTCCTTGCAGGAGCCAGTTGGGGGCCCCTGGCTGATGTTGGCAGAAGACAAGCCCTCCTTTCCCAAGGATGCTAAAGGGCTCTCTGTCTCCCAGTGCCCTGGGCACACTTCCTTCTCCAGCCGAGTGCAGAGAGGGGCATGGCTGCCAGTCCTGCAAGGTCTCAACAAGACCGTACATTGAAGGCGTAAGTCCACGGGAACGAGGCCGAGCCCGGCCTGCAGGTATGGGAGGGCTTGGTAAATATCTGTGGGCTCACTGCTGATGGCATGCATGAGCTGAGATTCTGATTTCACATCTATTTCTTCCTTGCCTGTGAGTTTTCCACGATCATCCATTTACATAGAACTTTCCCCTTAACGCATTTTCTCGGACCACACCAGGCTTTGAAACGGGCGGCCCCAGTTTTATTTGCATGCCATTTAATTCGGAGAGGACATTCCCAGCCTAACAATCAAGCAAGATTTAGCCAGGTCCCAGGATGAGCACAGTGCTGATTTGCCAGAACTCTCGGGGCTAAAGGGAATTAGAAAAATAAGGGAAAAATAAGATCTGAAGAGCAACTGGGGGTTGTAGTCGGGAAGACTGTTCCCCAAATGCTTTAGGCTCTGAATTCCTGGACTTGGTGTGATGTGGAGCCGTCTGTGAGTAATTCTGACCGATAAATGATGAACAGAAGTGACACGTGCTTCTTTTGGGCTGGATCCCTGAATCGTTCACGTGAGGCCTGCCGGAGACTTCCTCTCCTCAGGCCTGGCAACCATCATTGTTCTAAGTAGGGGCTGCTTCGGCCTCATCCTTGAAAAATGCCATGTGGACAGCCCCTCTTCTGGCCCACCGCAGACGTGGTGGAGTGAGATGTAAGCCCTGGTTGTAGCCACTGAAATTGGGGCTTGTTAGTGCAGCATGACTTGGCCTGTCCTGACTGGTACACTGGGAAAACAGAAACCCTGACCTGAGAGGCAGGCCTTCCTTATCCTCTCTTCAAAGTTCAAAATACCAAATCTTCTCCCTTTTCCTCACTCTTATCAAGCAACACTGTGCTTTATCTGGTCAATATTTATCATGTAGCATGAGTAAAAGAGGTAAAAAAAAAAAGTTTTGTTAGAAATGTACAGAAAGCAATGAGTCCATTTGAGGTTGGGAAGTTTGCAGTGTGACGGAGGAGACAAGAAATGGAACCTTTTCCCTCACCCCTAATATGGGTAGAACAACAGAATCCCAGGCCATTACCAGTGACCTTTATGGTAGACTTTAGAGGTGATCAAACTTAACTTTATAGCCTAAGAAGGCATTACTTCTCCATCTCTGACTTAGCTGTCCCTACCCAATGCCAGTCATGAAGCTGAGCACTAGAGACAGGTGAATGAAACCCAGTCTAATGGGTACAGTGACCCAAGAGGGGTTTGGACCTAGTGCTCAGAGCACCGAGGAGGAAAGAAGCTACTTCAGATGAGAAATCAGGGAAGGCTTCTTGGAAGAGGTGGTAGTTTACCTATGAGAGCCTTACCCCTCACTGTATGTTTATTTGTTTGGGCCAATTCCTGACTGGCGTGGGAAATACGAAAATGGATATTGGGCGTGGCTCACCACCTTCTCCACCATTTGGGCCAACTCAACCCTCCGTAACCCACCAGAAATTATACTTCTCAGCCCTGTGACTTCCCAGACTGCCTTATGGATGTCCAGACTTTTGTCCAGGTACAGTGTGGTCTCTTCTCTGGATGGTGAGAGCCCAGTTGGGTGAACCCTGCCTGCTCTGTAAAACCAGGAATTAAAACGAGAGCCTGACATTCTAGGCAAAGTGTTGCAAGTGCTCATCTAATCGTGCTCTGTGCAAAGAATCCCTGCCTTGGTTGGGGTGGGTGGCCATGTGTTCAACTCCCATCCCCAATCTCCTGTGGGGAGAATCACTGAAGAATGGCTTTGTTCTGGGTTGTTCAGCTCTGCAGCCTTTAGCAAGCAACTCATTCACAAGTGAGTACAAATTAATACAGTACACACCAGTTACATAAATATTGTGCTGTAATTGATTGTCTTCTGTAATCAAAGGCAAGGCTGCTGACTTTGTTACTTCCCCTACCTTGCAACTCTGGGGTAAGGGAACTGAGGTGGTAGAAGTGGGTTTTGCTGCATGGGTCTGTTTGTGAGCTGTGTCTCATGTATTGAGAAGAGGGGTAAGAGCCCTTACATTCAGATTCAATGAGTATTTATCAAATGCCTATTATGTGAGAGGCACTGAAAGACCTATTATCTTAGTTCGTTATGAATTGAGTTAATAGTAGGAACAATTTGATAATATGACACAAAAGTTAGTCTTTACAATAACATTTCCCCCCCTGGTAGATATGCTTGTTGGACTTTAAATAATCCTTTAGGTTTTAAAAACCTGATGTAAACTTACTAAGGAAAATAAAAAGACATGGCAGCTCCTATCTCTTCGCTTACAGAAACCACAGAGGGCAGAAGAACAAGATCTTCAGTTCCGGGTGGTAGGTAAGTGGATTGTAGTAGCCGATTTTCGAAAGTTAGAACAGGGTAGGTGAGCCAGTGATCTCCTGCTATTTGCCTGCATCTGCTTTATTGATTGTTGAATCACTTCCATGCATGGCATTGGAAATTTTAAGTTACTTCCCACAATACAAGAAAGCAACGTCATCTTTCCATTTACCTGCCAACGCTAAGGCCGGCTGGGTTTTTCCATCAGTTGTTTGGATTCGGAGGACAGTGACTTCGTGGGGGCAACCTCTCACTTCCCCCCCTGCTGGGACTCGAGTGTATCTGGGAGAATTTGGACGGAGCTCTGCCCGTTGAGAAGCCTGAGTTTTAAAATCCAAAAGCAAGCCCCCTTTGCCTTGTCTACGGAGAGACTTTGCGTAAATCCCCGAGGAAGCTCCGTTGTCGCCTGACCCCTGCGGGTAGTGCAGTTTCCCTAACCTTGACCCGAAGTCAGCCGTTTTTAACTCCTTTCCAAAACATCGCACCAGCCTGGCTGTGGTTTGAAAGAAAAACGAAACCGCCCGTTTTGGGCGTCCGCAAAAGGGCACCCGCTCCCTGGGGGCTAGGAGCAACTTCTCGACCACCCGGCCCAGTGATCTGAGATGATCGCGGACCACCAGACCCCTTTCCGCTCCCGGTGCCCAACTCGCTCGCTGCCACTTCCCTCCACAAACGCCGGCAGGAGTGGGTGGCAGCACCGAGGCGATTTTATTCGCGTTTTTTCCCTCTGCGTTTTGTCATGGAAACGCTGACACAACCTCCAGACGGCGGCCGAGCCCGGCCGGGGACTGAGGGCTTTTGGGACCCTGCGGGAGCGCGGCGCGCACTCCGCACTCCCCGGGAAACAGCTGGACGCGACCAATTCCCGGGTAGGGGCGGGGGGAGCGCGACGCTCCGCCCCGGCGCTCGGGTCCCTCCCTCCTCCCGGCTCTCCGCGGGCGCCCTCCCCTCGCCGGGGGCTGCGAGTTGCATTTGGTAAAACCCAGCCCGGAATATATAGATCACTGGAGCGCAATGAAGTAGCCTTTGGAGAGGAGGGAGGGGGCCCGTCCGACAGCCCCAGCGGCCAGCGCAGCGGCGGCACCATTCGCGCTCGCACCCCAGCCGCCCGGCCCGCGAGGAGGCAGCGCGGCGGCCGCCGGCGGGAGCGGAGGCGGCGGCGGGGAGGCGGAGAGGAGCAGCAGGAGGAGCAGGGGCGCGCAGCCGGCGGGTCCACGCATCTCGGCACTTCCAGAGCAACTCCGGCGCCTTCCATACCCCTGCCCGGGGCTGGGGGCTCCGAGAGCGGCCGCGAAGCCCTCCCGATCGTCCCCCCACCCCGAGCCCTGCCCAGCCCTGCCCTGCGCCTCCCGGGCTCCGCTCCGCGCGGCAGGGTCCCGGCTCCTGCGCCCCGGGCGCGCCTCCCGGACACCCCGGTCCCCGCAGCCAGGACAAAGCCATGAAGCCGGCGCTGCTGGAAGTGATGAGGATGAACAGAATTTGCCGGATGGTGCTGGCCACTTGCTTGGGATCCTTTATCCTGGTCATCTTCTATTTCCAAAGTATGTTGCACCCAGGTAGGGGGCGCGTTAGCGTGGTTTTGTTGGATATTTTTTTTCCTCTCTCGCGCTCTCGCTCGCTCACTGGCGCCGGGTTTCTGCCTCTTCCAGCCTTACCTCTTCCCTCTCAGCCACCTCGGGGCTCCTTGCTGCCCGGTCTGCCCGGGTCGCCGAGTCGGGATGGAGAGGAGAAGGAAAGACGTACTCACCTTCCTCTTTTTCCTCCCGGTTCCAGGCTGGAGGATGAGAGCAAGGAGGGGCGGTAGTTTTTTTTCCCCCCTCTCCCTTTTTTCTTTGTGTCTCTTGTCTGTCTGTCTGCGAGGTAGCAGAGCAAGGTAGAGAGGTTGTGGGCAGCTCCTGGTGGTGGGGGACCGGTTTGAAGAGAATGCAACTCCCCGCTGATGCCGCGATCTGAGGATGAAAGAGGCGCCGGGAGCCTGCCGCCCTGCGCCCAGGCGCGCTGCCTTTTCCTCGGTGGGGGGCCCGGGGGCGAAGGCTCTGCGCCCCGGCGAGGTCGCCAGTCCCCGCCGCGAGCTGGGGAGCCCGAGGCTTAGGCTCCCACGTGTCCCGGGCTCGGCGCCGCGCAGAGGTGTGGGGAGAGGTTGGGTGCCCGGCGCTGCCCCTCCACCAGGCTGGGGAAGCGGCCGGGCGCCCGCTGATTGCCCCCGGGGTCTGGCTCCGCAGTGACCTTGCGGCTGGTGCCCTGGGGCCTGCTTCACCCTGCGCCCCCACCCCAACGGCTCTCCCGACCCTGCGCTGGTCACGGCCCCCGGGTCACGCCTTGACCACAGCAGTTTTAGAGGAAACTTTGGCCCGGTCCTGGGCTGACCGTCAGGTTGCTTCCCCCACTCCTGGGTTCCGAGCATCTGAAGTCCCCCAGAGGGCCCCGAGGCCTGTGGCAATGAGCCCCCTCCCCCGCAGCCCTCGGGAGCTTCTACAAGTTCCACATCTGAAACGTGGACTGGGGGAGGATTGAGGCTCGCCCCTTTCAAGGGGCGCTAAGGAAAGTTTGGGACCTGGGGAGGGAGGGGCGCCTTCGAGCGCGGCGGCCGGGGGTTCGCAGCTCGAGCCCCCAAGCCCAACAGGTAAAAAACCTTCCGAGGAGGCTTCGGGGAGACGCGGATCTCCCCGGGGAGCCGTGGTATCCCCACCCCACCTCACCCCCGGCAGGCCCCCGCTGGGCCACTTTGGCTCCGAAATCCATTTTTTTTACGCCTCCGAGTTGCCTTTCTCAGTATAGCCACAGCAATAATTTGCTTTTATAATTGCAAGGAGGGAGATGGAAGCACATTTCCTTCCAGGGAAATGGGGTTGGTGTTTTTCTTTTTGCCCCCCCCCCCCCCGCGTTCTTCTTTCAGTGTGTATCTAACACTTTGAGCAGAGGCAGCCCCGAATTCTTCTAGCCCGCGTTTGGGTGGGTGGCAGAGGAATAAAGCTGTTCTTTCCATCAATCATGCCGGGGCTGCTGGTGGGAGCTTCCTTGACAGCGCGGGGCCGGCCGGGCCACTGGGCTCCCGCTCCCCGCTCGGCCGGAGCAGTTGTTAAAGCGGCCACATGGCTAAGGATATGGTCTGACACTACCACACGGAACCTCAGAACATCCGAGCCAGCCTTGTAGAAGATGGCTTTTGTTTGCAGCTGGGTATTTTTAGTTCCATGTCAGCAAACTGCAGCCGTGTTTGTCTCCTCACCCAAACCGGTGGTTGGGAAACTTCTAAGGCAATTTAAAAATGGACCTCGCTGATGTTCTGGGCGGTGTCGGTGGTTGCAGCGCGCTGGGCCAGACAGACAGAGGCATCCTGGAGGCCAGACCAGACTCCGCCCCAGAGACTGGGGGACTGGGTGGTGTGCAAGTACACTGGGGCTCCACCAGTTTAAACAAAGGGCCGAATGGTTTGGTCTAGACTCTAGACATGTGTTTAGGTCACTTAAAATTTTGCCTGGATGGAACGTGCCAGGTAGCTCTTTGCAGAAATGCCTGGAACAGGGATGGATCTTAGACTCCATCCAGAATGCACTTGAATTTCACTGTACCTGTTAGTGGTCCAGGGAAATATAACTCTATATGTGACTATATATATATATACAGATAGATAAAACTATAAATTAACTATAATACCACTGCTATCCATGCTTTTCATGTAGCCTGGGCTTTGCTTTTCTTGTCCGAGAATTAGGAAATAACTTTCTAACCAGAGACACTGGGAAGAAATTTCCAACTTGTAATTGGCACTTTGCTAAAATTTCCAGCCCTGGTTTACAACGTTGGCTTGAAAGTGGCACTGGACTTTTCTTCGGTCTAACCTTTGGGAATCAGGGACAGAACTTTCTCTAAGGGTATCCTGATAAGGATCCTCTGTCCTTGACCCTATGTTCTCAGCCTTTGCTTCCCTTCCTGGCCCCATTGCCACCCAAGAAATAGCATTTGTTTATTATTTAAATAAAGTAATTTAATAATTTAAATAAAAATAATAAATTATTATTTATCTCTATGAGTATGCTCTTTTGACTACCCCCCCCACCCTGTCCTTAGCAAGTACTACTTTCAATACCTTCTATTCAATACAGACCTGAAGATGGTTCAATCGAAAGGTCTTCCTTATTTTGAATTACATATTGTTCTGCGAAAACTTCATGCCAATGGTTCATTATAACACAGGGTGTAAAAATATGTTTTGAAATCAATATTAAACATTTCCCTTTCTATTTTTTCCATTTTATTCAACTTTACTGACATTAAACATCGCGGAGCTGATGCTCCATCTTTTCTACTGCTTTGAATTTCTTTAAAAGTGAGCTGATCTTTGCTTCTTCAATTTAGGGTAATGGTGGGATGATCCTTTGGCCGGGCTCTGCAGTTTCAGTCTTTACAGATCACCCAGGGAGAGGCAGAAGGGACTGCAGCATGGCTTAGATTGTGTTGCTAAAAATTTGGAGCCCTCTGGCAGGAGTTTCACATACCTGTATCTGAAATAGAAAAATAGCATTCCAAAAGAAATGGATTCCTGGCTTCTTTGGTGGCTCGAGAACACCTGGAGTGTGAGAGGAGGGAGAGAAAGAAGACAGGAGATGTGACGTGATGGGGAGGGCTGGCTGTTTCTCTCTCTGAGTCTAATCTGGGGCCCATTGTCTTTTGTACTTTTCTAATTCATAAACTGAAGCAATTCCTAAACTTGAGTAGCTGATCTTTCATTTGTTTGGAGCGTTCGGCAGAAGTGGGCCTTGTCAGGAAGGCAGCTTTCTTTACATCTGTGACACTCTGATTTAATAGTTTTTGTTTAGATCAGGGCTTTTTTTTTTTTTTTAACATTTTAGTTTTAAGTGATCTCTACACCCAGCGTGGGGCTTGGACTCACACCCCTGAGATCAAGAGTTGCATGGTCCACCGGCTGAACCAGTCAGGTGCCCCAGGATCAGGTTTTAGGTCCCATTCTAGTTCCGATGTTTTGCACAGTGCCTGACCCATAGTAGGCTCTCAGTAAAATATTTGCTGGATGAAAGCATGAAGTGGCTCAACCCTAGAAGACCCACTTCTCTGGTTTTTAGGAAGGTTGTCAAGCCTTGCCAAGAATGCCCTGTCAGTGAGTCTGGGTCTGTCTGGTGGAGACCGTTCCTTGCCTTCCTGGTCTCTGAGAGCCCCCGCCCCCGCAGACATGAATTTGGTTTAAGTCGTCATGCACCAGACAGGAGCATTCCCCAAGGCCTAGATTTGCTGCCCTGAGGTATGATGCAGCTGGGGGCACTGCTCCGTGTCCTGGGTACCAGGGAAGCTTGGCCTTGTTTAACTACTGACTTGAAGAAACCCATCCCCAGGACGAAAACCTTTTGTGGGTGGGAGCTGCTCCTGAAGTTGGTGAGAAAGGAACTGCAATGCTATAGTGGTTTCTGCACACGTGTAGTCCCTCAGTGAGTGCATCCTCTAGAAGTGCATCCTGGACGGTTCGGTGTCTCACATACCTGCCCCGCATACCTGCCCTGGACGGCTGGGCTTTGATGGAGCTGTGTTGTGCAAGGCGAAGCTGAGAGGCCCCCAGGCTGCATTTGTGCCTAGTGTGTGAAGACAGATCCCCTCAACCTTCCTTTTGTGTCACTCCATAGGGTTGTGGTTTGGTTTGAAAGCTCGTGTTCAAAGAAGAGAAGCCTACGGAGGAGAAAGCCTTTCCTCTGTTTCTCATCTTTTTTCCTTTGCCGTATGTTTACTTTCACTGTTGCCTGGGATTTCTTTGCCTTGGTTGCATGTATTGAAAGCTTATACCCTTTATTTAAAGACTTCCTGGGTTACCCCTTTGTAGTTTTACTTGATTAGATGGAAAGCACAGTGCTTTTGTGTTATAATTTCAGTCTAATTATAAACAGAATATGTGCTCTTTTTAGAAAATTTAGGAAGTATAGAAGAGAAATAATCGTTTTTTATTCTGGCACCCAGAGGCAACAGGTGCTTTGTTCTATAAATTATAGAATATATAGATTAAAAAAATAGTTGAGATCACAGTATGAATTTTGTACCTGTTTTGATGTATTTTAGACAAATTCATCGTTATGGTGACTAGTTATTAAGTTTAAAGACAAAATTTAATCACAGCCTTTTTAATTTATAGACTTGCATATGCCTCTGCTGACCCCTCCCCTCCCCCTCTTTGTAGGATGTCAGTCCAATTTTTTTTTTCCTTTTTTGCTGCACATGTTTAATTTTATTTTTTAGTTTAACCTAATTAATTATTTATTTTTTTAAAAGTAGGCTCCATGCCCAACACAGAGCTTGAACTCACAACCTGAGATCAAGACCAGAGATCAGGAGTCAGACGCTCAACCGACTTGAGTCACCCAGGCGCCCCTGCACACATTTAATTCTACATTAAAGAATCTTTTTGCTTAGACATGAAATGAGTTTGGAGTCAAAACAATTTGTAGGGGCTATCCTTAGGTCATCTATCTGAAACTTCCTTTGGAAAGACATCAGGAGGGTCTCAAATATGAGACTGTTATGGATCCCGAAAGTAGCATGAAATAACTGAAGG